ACGCACCCCCCATTTTAGCGGCAGAGGGATACAGGTAGGATAATCGCAGTTTGTGATCTCACCCAAACACCCTGGCGGCCGGTTCAGTGGTTGGTTTCTAGTTTTGGTGCGTTTCATGTCCTCCCCCCCTTTTTTTCTTTTGGATCGGACGGAGATGGGAGGGGGAAGAAAGGGAGGATGGGGAAGCGGGGATGACGGGGACCGGTTGTTTGCCCTCCTTTGTTGGACACAGTGGGCTGACGATACCGGTACGGCCAAGGCACAGTAAGGTTTCTGTTGTGATAGCTGGTAATTAGGACTGACGGCGTTGGAACAGACTGCGAGTGTTACCGGCCGAGAAACGGGTTACCATTTGCCTGCTGTCCTGTTTGCGGGCACCGGTGGGCGTAATGCGGTAGGAGTACAGCACCGGTACGGCAGGCGAGGAAGTACGATACTTGTAGGATACAGTATACCGGTACCGGTGCTGTATCTCTACCCATCTGCCATTACCTTCACATCTCATGGGACCTGTGCGGCTCTCACCATACCTGGGCGATCGTACCTGTTTTTTCGTCCGAGCCCTGCAGGGGTTTCGAGCTGGGATGGTGATGTGCTGGTCACCGGCAGGGGCTACGGTAGGGGGAGCGTTTGTAATCGCACCCGCACAATAAGGTGGGTGGTCACTACCTGTATATAATGCTGTAAAACGGCAGTGTGCTGTGTAGTACTGTACGAAAAAACCGGACCCACGGCGACAGCGGACCGCTTTTTTATCACCGACACCTATAGTGAATGCCGTTGCTGGTTTTCAACCATGTCCAAGGGGATACACTCCGCCATAGACCATCCTGATCTTCTCTACCGGCAATCTGATTTATCCTATAATACCACCCATAGCGATATATCTATCCAGTATCCACTTCCGTCCCCGAACCATCCACCGTAGCTACACACATCTCTGCTCACAAAAGACTTTCACTCGTAACATACCGTCCACCACGACTGGCCAATTCACTCAAGTCATCCCGGTACCAGAATCCCAGAGCGTTCCTGTTCCTTCGCCGCCTTGCCTCCAGTCTCCGAAGCTCGCAATTCTTAATTGCTTCCATCAGCCCAGTCAGCATATTCGTCAGGCACTTTCCTACGTTTCTTCCCCACTTTTTGGCCTTGCGCTTAGCCCTGTCAGCTGCGGTTGTATTGTAGGCTAGTTCCCGACCGGTTTCGTTGGTGGGTGGGGATAGCGTGTGGGGGCGGGAAAGCATGACGCGTTAAAGTTGGAGTTTGCGCGCTGGTTTGTTTGGAACAGTATTGCCCTGTTTGGCGTTTACTTTGAGGCGAGGTGGGTTTATTTTATTTTGGTAGTGGACGAAAGTGGGCTTATGATATCATCTCTCGGTACGTTGGAATGCCTTTGAAATACAGTCCCTGCACGGTAATCAGTTATCCGGCTTGAATAATTCCAGCGATAGTCTCAAGAGATAGGGTGTATATCACCCCTTTCATGTCACGTTTTGGGCTCGTGTTCTGCTCTACAGTAGTTGAAATTGACTAATTAGACACTGTATCACGACTTGGATGTTTGGTTTCACGACGGGGACTTTTTGCGCTTGCATCTCGGACACTACGATCTAATCAAATCCAATCTTGTCCTCGTCTGATCAAATCTCTCGCATCTCAAGGGCCAGGAACAACCAATCGGAGGATCGCTGGTTTTAATAGCCTTGATAAGCGAACCTTATCTATGGGCAGAACCCCTCAGAACCCTATCGTGGGAAGTGAACCGATAAAGCCCGCTCAAGAAGCCACGATACTTGGAACCAATCCCTTTCGGAGTGGGCTGTAGTATAGCTTGAGATGTGACGATAGCCGTTCCTTCCTCTTCCTACGATTGTGGTCCCCCTGCCTAGAAGGTTGGCGATGTTACAATATCATGGCGGTTGTTCAATATGCTATGATACTTGGGCTGGAGACTGGAAAGCCGGATATGGAAGCACCTTGTTATCAGAGATCTTACAGGGCTAACGGACGTAGCGGGAGAGCGCGGCTAGGTTGCGCTGGTCGGGTGCCGTATTGGAACTTCCACCCTAAGTTTCCGGCTTCAGCTCGGCCGTGCAGGTGCAGTGCCGATACCCCCGTGCCCCATGCTCTCTATAGCATTCCACTGTACCAGCCGTTCGTTATGGTAGGTAGCCAAGCATAGGGTAGCTATTGCGTCGTGCTGTGCGATATCTGAAGTGGCTACACCTGTCCTGAGGAATTGTTGTTCTTGCAGAAATTTTGGTCCTCCGTGCTCGTTCAGCGCAAATTGTGAGCGTAGTTGGAACCTTCGGGAGACGAAAACAAACAAAGACGTTCAGACTCTCCGGCCGGCGAGTGCTTTGGATTGTCCCTATGCCTGCCTTTCGTCTCACCACCGGCACCGCGCTGCTCCAAGATTATGGCATACAGCCCCCTTACATGGGCCCCCCGATTTACGATATTATCGCTCGACGCCTCTCCCTAGACGCCGGTTCGCAGACCCATCATATCCACAAGCGCCGAAAAGAAGCTATAGAGAGCGATGAATCCACAGCCTCGGCAGAGATCTAAATGGCTATTTTTGAAGCTGGAAGTTTAGAGCAATTATTCTATCGGTTGCCTCATATGGGGGTGAATCCCGTTAGGTATTCTTCATGGCTAATAGCGGTGCCCTATTGACCTCTCTTTCAGTTCAGGTAAGCCCTCCGGCCTATAGAATAGGGACTCGACTGTCAACCTATCCGGGTAGGTAAATATCTTGGTTTTGAGAAAGGCTGGGCAACCTCAGCCAGGACCGGCAGATACCATCTTCTGGTTCACCTGTGGCTAGATACCGTACATCTCATTTTTTACGGATCTTAACACCTTAGGCGCCGGTCCTGCAGTGCGTTCAACACCAATCAATGGCTCGGCTTTCAGAGGACACGGGTGAAATTGTCCTACGGAGGGTGGAAGATGAGAGCCCAAACTACAGTACGGGCTTTGCAGCGGGGGGCGATCGGGAGGTTGGGCTGTGGCTCCGGGGGCTGGCAACAAGGTAGCGGGAATATACGTCCAACGGTTCGCCCACGGGGGCCGAGGCGGGTGCCAGGTTTCAACGCCTAGACTATCATAATATCTTGTCAAAGGGCAACCGAGGATTGCCAGTGCCTAGGTGGCACAGGAGCGTAGAAGGGATTAATGTAAGCGCGGCTCACCTATGTTTAGGAGTTTCTTTCTTGCAGCCATACCGGTATCTGAGATTCGCGCCGGGCACTTGGCACACCAAGACCCACCATTCCGGGAATGTGCCGTACTGAGTACAGGTCGTGCAGCAATTCGCAGAGACCGAAACACACCCGAATTGAGGGCTTCCTGCCTCCGGGGTTCTACCGGTTTTCCAAAGTTAACTTTCAAACAACTTAGTAATACATCCCGATAGATTTGCAAGCGGCATACCGTATTTATCATAGATTTCCCCCCCTTTTCCATTACCAACTGTTTACCCAAGTTCCGGTCGCTTAAAATGAGTGAGGTTGATTCTCGAGATTACTGTACTAAAGTTATGATACTATTATGGTGCAGTACAAGTTCATAGTACCATCTCGATGCCCAAACCCTACGCGTGACCCCGAAAAATAAACACTATCCCTTAACCCGTTTTCAAACACTGGGGCTAAGGCAGTACTAGCAGAGAAGCAGGAGCAGCAACCGAGGATGTAGCTGTAAAGAGCATTAGTATTTCTTGGGGTGCGGGGGCGTAGGCAGGATTAGATTTACATAGACCCTCCTGCTTCTGTCATGGCCATGCTGATTTTTACGAACTTCGCTACATTCTGAGCACTACTCCACTTGGGATCCGCAGAGTGTTTCCTATCACAATTACTCAAATAGACTACATAGTGTTCAAGACTTTAAACAGAGCCAGATTTCTCAGCACTTTAAGGATAGATCCAGCTTTCCTTATTCTGCCCTAGCTATTGTCGATCGCAGTGTTAGTGCCGCGCTAAAAGTGAGTGAAATTCGGGACAGACGAAGGGATCATAGCGATATCACACTATTGCAATCTGGGCTCGTCTTAACTACCGTACGGTTGACGGATAGACGAGCACTGTCTCGTGACCCTAGAAGTTGAGCCTGTTAGAATTACTGCCATAGATAGCAATTATCAAGGATAGTACGATAGTCTACCTAGTATTGTATAAGCAACGGTCATAGAGACGACAACGTGATCGAACACTCTTGTGCACTTTCCTTTCATCTTATAATAAGCAAAATGTGAAATGCTAGCGTTGAGCGGCGTAAATACTTCCTCGGCACGTGACTACGAGAAGACACCACAGTCAGTGGAGCAATTGTGGGCAACCACGGCCTGCCCTGTCTTTTTTTTCTCGCCCTCGGTGGCGAGGTCTTTGTCTTCGTCAGGTGGCCACTAGAAGCACTAAAACCCGCGGCGGGAGGTATCAAATGATGCCACCGTACCATATGTCCGTTCGGTATCATAGGAATGTCGGGAAGTTAGATGCGCGGCCAAGGTTACGGAGTTGGTAGGGTCTTACTAAGGTTCATTGCACATTACCCTCTGCAAATCAACTACCGGTACAAGTACAGTAAGATGGAGCTAAGTTACTCGACTGCCGTATCATGCGCGTACTGTACGGTACTCGAGTACGGTACTGTGCGGGCACAAGTTAAGAGCCGTGCGCAACTATTTTGAGGGCCATTGGGGGTATCCGTGTTCCCGGCATACTCATATTTCCGCAGTGACAAGCCCCCCGACGCTGCTTTGCTCTTCCCCCTTAATGCGTTAGTCTCAACGCTCATAATGTCGTGACGTCCGTAAAAAGGGACTGCTATCGCACTTACTCGAGTACAATATCATGACATCACGAGTGGCACGGCAGGAATTACCGCCCCTAGGACCCCTTCCCCGCGAACCTCTATCATAGCAGTACTTAACCGGAGCGACAGGCTCCTATCAGAGCCTATCTCAATACCGTGCACTCGACACAAGAGAAAAAATGTCGAAATTGAAGGGTGAGCAATCCTCCGCGTATCGCGGTGATGAAGAGGGGGGGGAGGTCACAGGTGGCTCCTCCTCTGCAGCAACCCCTCCTCCAATTCAGCGCAAGCTGGATAACCCTGGGGAGGCGCTGCCGGAGTACTACGATTCTATTGGTGGATCAACGAAGCCCGTGAGGGGGGTTATGAGGGGGGAGACGGGGGCGGAGGGGGAGGCTGGTGCTGGTGCCCCTCCTGAATTTGAGGTGTATGTTCCTAAGACGAAGGTGAAGCATGCCAATACAATACTGGCACCTGAGGGTGATGTTCTGACTGTTTCCCATGACGAACATCTTAATACTGATGGCGAGGCCCTTTACCGGTAAGTTTCTGACCCTTCAATTTTGGATCTGTTTGTTTACTTGATCGGAACACTACACCAGATGCTCATCTACCTGATTGTTTACCATAGTTGGTTTTTAGAACAACGCTCGAGACCGCCACGCGTGCAAGTCCGCGTACATGGATATCACAGCGAATGGAGTTTCTCTCAGAGGAGATTTAAGGCGGTGACCGATTTCCACCTTATCTGTGATTTTACCCATTTGTTGCTGGAGCAGAATCATATAGGGGAGCCGACTCTAGCGACAGTTCCACCAGATAAAAAGGCCCACCGTGGTCACGGGGGGTTCAAATCTCTCGCCAAGGACTTAGAAGAGGGCGGGACAGTTCGAGACTGGGCTGATCGATACTGCGAGGACCAATCTACGTTCAAGGAGTGAGTTTTGCCCCTCTCTCGGATATTTCATAACACCGAGGCCTCAAACAGGCTATATGTTTGATCCATTCGTGCATCGTCCCATCCAGCAACCTACTCCTGCGGTTTACATATTTATGCATTCATTTCCCCTTCCCCCGTCCCATGGATATAGCTCATAGATCCGATCACAGATTCGTCATGAAGAAGGTGGTGCTCGGACACGATCGCGACTATCTGATGCGCCGTATAACGGAGTGCATCCGATCAACAAATTACCCTCATAACATATCGTTTGAGTTTCCGATCTACAATACACGAGTAAAGGTCTATCCAGAAAATAGAATCTCGAAGCTACGAAAGGCAGAATGGTTCCGGTGGATATTCTACCTCACCTTCCTCTGGATATTCGCATGGCCATACCTTTGGCTCGTGACAAAACGGTATAACGTTACTAGGATGACCTGGAGAATGTCTCGCCGGGTTCGAGATGAAAGTGGGGAGACGCGGAGAGAGTGCGTACAGACTGAGGGGGAGTGGATGCGCCAGTGGGGACCCGCCATCAAGCGCGCCGTGACGGCCAAAAAACAGGGTTATCTGTAGTGGTAGGAAAAATACGTATTTTATGATTATTATACCGTGTTTTTCGTCTTGTGATACATTAAATACAATACAATACATTACATAGGTGCCGTAAAACCGTTATCCACAAACCAATGCCCTAAGGACTAAGATTTCCTCCATATCATACGATAAAAAGGTAAATGCTAGTATACCTTGAAAGTTTTGTAATGTATAATATGCTGCTTTTTCTGATCCACTGTCTGCTGTGAACCATATTGCATGCATTTCAGCCAACAAACTGAAAATGGTACTTGTACAAACTAAGGATTCATAACTACATAATGCATTTGAAACCTTTCCTGTGGAACCTAGGTGAAGGGTATGCTCCTCTATGGCAATTTTCCTCTCTGGTTAGATATAGGATCTGATCCAACTCCAGACCGGGTCGGTATGATGCGCAGTACTGCATGCAGGCTCAGTAACCTGATTATGAATAATGAAGGAGGGCAAACTCAGGCTGGCATAAACAACTCTTCAGGTTTGGGCCGGGGGTCTACACTAGTGGTCGGGATACGTATTTTAAATACAAACGCGTATATATAATGCCAATCCCTAGTTACCTGTCGACAGGGCTCCAGTAATCCTCGCAGCCCTGACCAATATCTTTCTCGAGCGACTCCCGCGATTTGGGGAGCGAAAGCCCATGCGTGGGTGAGGCGGAGATTCAGGTTGGTAAATTCTAGATAGATAGAGGCGAAGCTGTGGTGGGATTTGTGTACAGTATTATGCCTCATGAGAAAGGGCCTAGACTTTGCTATTTTCGGCCTTCGATTTCGAACTCTTGTTTACCTATGCCCTGACTATTTTTTATTCTTTTTCTCCTCCTCCTCACTCGGATGGTGTTGCGCAGTTTCCCCACTTGTGCATCCAGATTACAATACTCGAGTAGTGTACGGGTACGACAGGGCACAACACGTTCTCCCACTCGTGGAGTATGTGCTCGTATGATACGAGCACAGTACGGTACTCTGGATGGCAAAAAAAAAAAAGTAAAAAAAAAATACCGTGCCTCCGTGTATCTGACCACTGATAAAAATGCACGAGTGCTGTTTTCGGGTTCTCGAGCGCTCGTACTCGTACAGTACCCGTACTGTACAGCACTTCTCGCCTGCTACGAGTAGAAACGACACATGTCGGCCGGGCGGCGTGTTGGGGAGGGGAAGTGGGATCAGGGAGTCTTTTTTTTCCCACAAGGTATCGAATGATTTCGTGAGCAACGTCTCTTTGAGTTGGTCGCAAGTCATTTTAGCTGGGTTCCATAGCCACACTCCCATTGGCTCGTTTCTAACCGCCCAACCGCAACCCGCGACTGCATCTTCGGTCCTATCTCAAGCCCCTGTACTAGTACCGTGCTGGTCTAGTACAGAGACATCAAACGTGTACCTCAGCACCCAACCGTTACAAGCCCACCCCGCAGTACCATATGTACACCCCTCTCCGTAGAATGTAGCGGTAACCCCTCTCCCCCTAGGCCTAGGTAGCTTGACTTTGGGCACTTTGTAGGGGCATTGTATGATACGCTGGCCAAAAGTTCAACGAGGCCCCGCGTCTGGCGCATTTGTTCGGCCAACACATCAAGACATCCCAGCACGATCGGCATCTCGGATGGAGTTTAGGGCGGTGCGAGAAATGGCCATTCGTTTGGTTCAAGGCGAGAGAAGGCTGAACCACTACCAAACTACGCACCGCACGAGCACGATATGGTAGGACAACTCGAGAAGAGCTTATGGCATGGTATCCCTCGCGGGGCGAGGGCTGGCGCTTAGGGTTGACGCGTTTTGGGTGGGGAGCTCTGAGATTCTTCGATGGGCCAATCTTAGGATTCCAGCGCAGTGATTGTCCACCATCCTTCGTTTGTTTTTTTTTTGGCAAGGAGTGTGGGGGAGGGAGGGAGGGCTAGAATTCTCAGTGGGGGGTTCTTTTGTGAGGCGTTGCAGAGTAGGCGGAAAATCTATCGGGCCTGTTGCGTTCTGGAAGGTATGGAAGTGGTTAGTGTCTGAACAACACATCCATGCGGAAAAATGAGTGGCAAGCCTACTACTGTACTCGTACAGTACAACAGAGGTATGATAGACACGTTGATGGCATGGCTCGAAAAAAGATCGACCAGCAACGCTGGATGTGAACAGAAAATGCTGACGATAGTCGGTGATCCAAGTTTTTCGGAGGCGAGGGAATTGGGTATAAAGACCACTTGGATTCCGCCTCCGGATACCTTTTTTTCCCCCTCCATCAGCATCACAATCAGAGCATACTTTCTAGCGAGACTCAAGCAAGCAAAAGATCCCTCACAACAAATTCCATCATATCAATCTTACCTTTTAACTTACCTCCCCTTCACTCCATCTAAATATGTCTTTCCATCACGGAGGATACGACAATGATGACGGCTTTGGCCCAGACCGACCCCAGAAGGAGATCCTCTTCCGCGACGAGACCATGCGAGAAATCCTCACTAGAGCCGTAGAAAGCGGTTCCCACGACATCGGTGACGAGCTAAGAGCAAGCATCTCGCGAAGTTCAACCTTCAACCAGGAGCGCAGGGTATCCCCTCCTCGTTCCTTTTCCCGCCAGAACTCCAACATGATAAACACCCCACCCCGCGACAGCAACCGCGGCCCTGCCGTGGAAACATACAGAAACGACCAAGGGGAACTCGTAACCCAATTGGTTGATGGTGAGGATGCCCCTCTTCGGGTGCACAACCACGACCCCGAGTGGAACGATCAGCCCAGGGTACCCTCACGCAGCAACACCGGCCTCTCCACGTACAGGAACCCCGATGGCGATCTCGTCCAGGCGCATACCGGCTCCGAACCGCCATCCCTCAGGACCTTCTCCAGACAATCCCCACCCCCTAGCGATGAGCGCAGAAGCCCACCGATTTACACTTCCCGGGACCGCGAGGGAAACCTGGTCTCGCAGTACGATGGCGACAGTTCAGAACTTCGCATCCGCACCCATTACCAGGACGACGAGCCCCAGCAGAGGTCGTATCAGAGAACGAATTCCGGGAGATATTAGATTGTTTCCTTTTTTGGGAGGGAGTTTTTTTCATTTTTGATTGGTTTTTGGTTTTCTGTTTTTGATGGGATGGGGGATGGGTGGGATTGGGTTTCGTGCTTTTTTGCTAGATAAGTCAGGAGGTAGAAATATAAATCGTTGGCGATCGAGTCCTGTTTTGGTTTCTGGGGAGTTGGGGGGTGATGGTGGTGGTGGTGGTGGTGGCGGTGATTGAATTATTAGAATGGTGAATGTCAATATACTCCTCCAGCCAATCCTTTCACGATCTGTGAACCAAAAGAAACCAAGCGACAAAATGTGACGGGAACAATGCCTTGGGATTAATCCCCCGCGTGGTGTCTGAATAGTACCCGGCCAACCACACGATTCTCGAACCCCCCCGCTCCATACTAGTCCACCTCCTCGCCAACTAGAATATCACACCTTCGTCCAGTACCACTTCAGCCCGGCAGCCTTCACACACCGCCAACCTCCCCCCCCCCCAAATCCTACTCCTTCCGCAGCTCAATTGTCATAAGCAGCGGCCCAACCTAGCACTAGCATTTCTTCATACTCGTACACGGCGGTCCGGATAGACTACAGGCGATATCGCCACCGAATCCCGGTTCAGTCTTATTACGTCTTTGCTTGTCAGGATCTGCAGGAGTGAGTCGGGGATCGTCGCGTGGTTCACGTCGGTTATCAGCGGGGGTCTTCTGAATGGTTCGCTGCTGGGCAGAGTACTCTTTGGGGATTGTTATGTTTGCGGTACTGCTGCGTGTTCACGATTGGCCTGGATTTGGTCGGTCCGGGGCGGGTGGGTAGGCGTGCGGTCTTCATTCTGCGTATGATACTGTCTTGTCTACTTTATAGCTTGCGTGTACAATCCGTCTCCGTTTCCCCGGCAGGGTGCTCGAGTCCTCCAGCTCGCGAGCACGGGAACTTGGATCCCCATCCGTCCAGCGGGTGTAGAGCTTCTTTCCGGGTGGCTTTTGGCTCTTTTGCGGGTTCCTGCGTTGTTCCTCCACCAACGGTAGTTCACCGAAGCGAGTGAGTCAGGGTGACGCACTTGCGAAACTGTTCTTGAGTGAGGTGGTGGTGACTTCTACTCCAGGAAAACTGTCAGGTTGATGGATATACGGAATTGGAAGAAATAGGTTACTATATTTCAAATAGCATGTCCTCTATTCACTGGTTATGCCCATTCATCGATGGGCTTTATTCGCCGAAGGAAAGAAGGAGGGGGAGGGGAGATACAGTCAGTTGGCCGGTAGACATGAGCGGACATCTGAGCATCCCAATACTCTACCCCCCCCCAACTCCCGGGACTTTCTACAAACAAGGATGTACTTTCCCCCACCTGCATAATGGCGAACACGGCGGTGGGAATGGAAGTCGCGTACATACAAACCCCGATTTCAACGCCGTGAAGTAAATCCTGTCGGCGAAATTCTCAATCTAGTTGGGGAGAAAACCTGGTGTTGTTCGCTTCCAAATTCCCCTCCAGTTTTTTTCTCTTGTTCTATTCACTTCTTAAGCGCGATATAAGGCTCCATTGCGAGAACCCCTAGGCGAGTGAGTAGGTGAGTGGGCGGGGATCACCCAGTCCTAGTCGATATTAGAATACAGGTATATCATATTATATCGTATTTACCAAACTAGCTACCATCTCACTACTACTGTACGCGGTCAGAAATTCACTCCCAAGGCTTAGCGTCAAGGGCTACACCATCGCTAAGCCCCCTCCCCCCTAAAAAAGGACAAATTCCCTGTTGCTGTTATGATACATGCACCGCGTCCTTTATGCCCGCCTCGAACGAATTCCTGCTGCCACTCACCCTCTAGTAAACCCTAACCCTGTGTTATACCTATGATTCACAAGCTACCGTATGATATCATACTTGCCAGAATAAATCCCATTCGAAGAGCATTTACCATGAAATCGCCCAAGCATGATCTAGCGCATATGGGGAGAAGTGACAGGAGAAGAAATGCACTCCACCGTGCCGTCCCGAGATGAAAAAATTAAGAGCAATACTGGCGGGAAGGGGTGGCGTGACAGTAAGGGTTCTTGAAGCTAGCGTAGGAACTTCGGATCCACAGAGAAGGAAGCGTTAGAGGCGCTTACGGTACCGGCGCCACGCACGGGAATGTTGGACAAGAGGGCGGGACGGAGTGGGGTGCCGAAGGTGATAGCCAGTGGTCGGGGTGGCCAACCGGGGGCGTGGAATCAGGCTAAGCCTTGTACAGTACCGTAACATTCTTCTCGGCCGACGCCGGGCCGGGATACGCATCGTCGTGTGGATGCTTGCATTGGGTGGGTTTGTGAGAGAAAGGGTCAAGCTGCTCTGCCGGATAACTTTACCGTATTCACCATGCGTGATCAAACTCCTAGGCGCAACTAGTGTACTCGTCCCTGCTCGCGAAAATGTTTCTCACGTCGACTTGGCGGAAGTGCTCTTCCGGACTAACTTAAGCTGGACAGCTTTGTCTTCCTTGCACCAGGCAATGAGCCATTGGAGCTTCCTCCTCCAGGCCTTTGAAAGAAACTACCTATCCGCCCCCCGCTGCCACAGTGCCAAGTTCGGGAATACGCTTAACTTATGTATCATTACATACCCGCCGACCAACCGGAGTCTCGGGAGGGCCATACCGGGTTTGAAAAATTTAACGTGGGCTCAAATTCTCAACACGACTTTCATAGACACACAAGAGCATAGCACGTGATTTCATGGGATAATCAAGGCACTGTGGATCGTGGGGTAATTTCCTGATTTCAGAGCTCACTCCGGTCTTCAGCCCTTAGATATTAGTTCACGTTTTTCCAGGGGAATGAATGTAAACTCATGGTAGGTATGATACAGTCAAAAGGTAGTCTTGGCAGTGCAGATCTCAAATCATGTGCGGATACATGTTCATGGAGAATTCACCCACTCTACGTAGCCACGCTGATCGGTTAACTTGGCCTGTTGCAACAATAGATCTGGACTACTTTGTGTTCGAGCTTAGGATTTGCAGTACTCACACATAATCACTCGATATGAAATATAAATGTGGGCCAATTTTATATTTCTGAAGCCCTATTCCCCCCACTCCATCTTTACAAAGTATGGATAGCATGAACCAATATGGTTCTGTTCATGGTGGATACTGTTTAAATACGCTGGTGCGGGTACTGTACAGTACAGCAATCCCCTAGTGCACGTAAAACCCGTACGCTATATCGGTGCACGCGTTTCTTCACTAGTTAGACCATATAAATCTCTACTCATTTTTTTGGCACACTCGGGCTTGCCTTATACACTCCTCAGACACCATACCAGAGTTAGGGTTTGTTTTCTCAGAAGGTTTTTTTTTCTTTTTCCAATTATTGACCCAACGGAGAGACCACGTGAAATATCTTGTGGTTCGCCATCACTTGCGGGTCTTCAATCTTTATATTCCAAGATAAACGCTCATGATAAGGGTTAGTTAGATCCTGACACGGTGCTTGAGTCGGAAAGGGAGTTGGAGGAATATTCGCTGAGGAGTAGGAAAAAAAAATAGGACTCATACAACATGCCGCAATCCAATACACTAGTCATGCCACGGTATTCCGCAGCACATACATTTACGCTACTCCTGAATCAGTAGTCCTCTTGCTACCACCCCCTTTTGGTTTGGAAGAATGGAGGTGTGCCTTCCACCCACCCACCTATGATATCCATCTCCGCTTTCAAATTAACCTGTTTTAAGTATTGAGAAATAGTATATCCAATTAGGACACACCGAACAAGGCCTGAACCTACCGTGGGCTAACGCAGTGATGCCCACCGGTTATCTGATAGCCAATTACCAGAGATTTTGCGGTGGATAACTGTTGCGGCCGGTTCAACCCCTGCAGATATTACAAATGGAATCTAGAAGGAGACGATTATTTGCTCAATCTTTGTCATACTTATTATGGGGTTTGATATAGTACCTAGATTAGTACCCACCGGTCTCAAACGACTCCCCCCCGGGCAATAGCCCTGTGTCGGATAACTACTCGCTAATTTCATAAGTATGATATCCGGCCGGCCGTCTGGATGCGGAGGCCCGCCCGGTCACAGATCTTTAGGGCATGGGTGTCCGGGTATCTTTGAAATTCACGGCACCTCTTGATAGGGAGTGAAGAGTGTGACAGCATTCAAGCTGGTCGCTGGTTCCTACCGTCAGAGAGGTGGTCAGATGAGCTATCGAGAAAAATTGTGGACACCACGCCAGCTATCTTGGGCCCTTCACGGCATACTACCTTAACATATGAAGAAACGCATACACGGTGGCTCCGAATACTACTTGTTCCCGAATTAGTTTTACGGGGAAATTAGAGACCCGGAGCACTACTTGTACCATACTACACCCCAGCCGGGAGAAGGCGCCTGTGGGCCTTCTGGGAGTCCAATATTTTGAGAGGACTTCCGTAACTTTGGGCGGTGTTTATCCACTTGGCTCCTCAACCCCAATCTCGGGCCTTTTTAGCATGAAGGTCGCAATTCATGTATCTCACACGCCATAGCTATCGTGAGATATTACCCGTAGAGCGCTCTCCACCCCTCTATGAGCCAAGACCTTGTTTTAGCTGGTAGTGTGAAACTGGCAGCACAAGGCTTCCGCACGGTACGACTTGAATTGGGTTTCGTGAATATAGGCAACCGCTGCCTGCTCCCGAAAAAAAAAACGATCTGCAATTCATTCCTATGACCTATCGTACGAGGGTTGCGCCAGGCTATTTATACCGATTTTTGATAGAACTAGTAGTAACGTTGTTGCCCCAAGGTAATGTGATTCTACAGTATGTGGTTAGCCAAAAGCCGTATCGTAGGGCAGAGAGGGCGGGAGGTCACTGATCGGGCCGTATCACTAGCTGAGCTTCTCACCACCGCTCTCTATGCTACTGCGGACCGGGGTAGCTCTTGTACAGTACGCGAAAAACCCAGTATAAGTCTACTACCCACCATCGGGTAATATCCCCGCACTTATTCCCCTGAATCCCCCAGCACACAAATTATGTAGAGACCAGATCCTTACCCCCTAGCCAATGTGTAGAACGTTATTCAGACTCCAAACCCTTGACCTCCCCCGAGAATGCCGGCAGAGGGACTGTTGATCGTATGAATGGTACGATAGAAGCCCATTGGGCGAGCCCGTAACCCCTGTTTACACCGTTGAAATTCATTCCTACACGCAACCCACAACTCAAATCCGCAATTTCTGTAGATCTTGTGGCTTCTAAGACGGATACTTGGGGGTTTTGTTTTCGTGATTGGTGGGTCGCCCATGGTGTGTACAAGGGTGACAAGCTCACCCTCCTCACCTTCCCGCACCTTGCCGGTAACGAGTTGTAGGTTGACACGGGTACGAGCTGAATTGTTGATTAGTCTACTCCACAAGCTCCCGTGTACCGGTATCTAGAATGAACCGTCTGGGGAGTCTTTCAATGCCCAGGGTATGGTTCTCCCGGTCCCGTTATTTTATAGAAACCCGTGAAGCGTAATTATTTCTCCTTACCTTAAAGTTAGTACCGGTATAATAATAGTGGTTCTGAATAATTCGTAGACTTCTATTACGCCCGCTAATAATTGTGTCACCCGATTGAACTCAACCCCGCCCCGTATCTACCGAATTGCTCCTGGTGTGATATCATAAGACACCAAAACTATTGTGTGACACCGAGCGCAGCGTCTCGTATAACCCCCGTCAGAAGATTACCGCAGTAGAACGAATAGAAGCCAAGACAGGGCAGGCCCGTATCCCAAGGCTCGGGATCATTTAATGTCACTCGAGGCTGAGTGTGAGCCTGATCTTCCGGATACGGTACCAGTCTTCTATTGACGGTGTCAATTTCACACTGGCCAAACGCCCTGTCGAATAAAACATCTAATATACAAGTGGCAGCTAGAGGATCGAGCTATTTATGGAAGGATTTTACTTTGGGCCCTTCGCTTCCTATAAAATATTCCCGGGCCGTCTGATATTAAAAACTAACAGAGATGTTATAGAGGTGGATCGATCTCGTTTCCGGACGCTGCGCCGATTGGGAAAAGAGGGGGGGACACTAAATTTGGGATATGCCAGAAAATCCTTCCAAGTAGGAAGACTAGTCTTTAGGCCCAACCTGTCAGGAAGGGATGGTCGGGGGAGGTACCGGATCCGTATACGATACTGTGCACCTACAGAACACTCACATACCGGTACCATGGTGGACGTTCGTATTCTGGATAATTGTTAGCCCAGCCGTAAGCGAAACGGGACACGGATGTTTACGTCAACTCAGCACAGAACAAAAAGGTCCCCCTGGTTCCTCCTCCTCCATTGCCTCTACCCCTCTATATAAGAGAACAGCAAATCCCACAAAATCCCAATCACCAAAGGTGCACCACTTCTCACCACCATTTTCCACAACAGCAGAAAAATGAAGCACCTACTATCCATCCTCCTTTTCGCTGTCATAGCGCTTGCGGCCCCTGTTTCTCAAAAATTTCGTCTCAGCATCTTATATACCGACGGAGAAACTGGTGAATCCTCATCGGTGGAGTATCTTGGGTTGAAAGATGGTGTAGCAGTGATTACTAAGGATTCGTCCCTAGCTATCACAGCGGTAACTTTCCCCGGATTATTGAACTTCCTTCTCTATCAGAAGTAGCAACTAACATGGCCAAAGTACCTGGACCCTGACCCCCTTGGAATGCTTTACACGGACAAGAAAGTCCCCGGTTATCTATTCCCAACAGCTGACCCAAATGTATACGATTTCCGCTTCGGCGGTATCCCGAAGGTTCCTCTTATTCCCTCTTCCATAAGATCTCCTCGTACAGTACTAACGGCCGGTAGATGGCCGGTGTCTTATATACGGAGTTCACTTTCGTAGACCGTATCTGCCAGGCCTGCTTCCCGGACAAAATACTCGCGTATTCCCCGCCAAAGGACGGTTCTAGATACCAGGGCCAATTCAGGGCTTACAAGGTTGGCGGGGACTGGGTTGTTAAGTTTCACACCTCGAAACCTAAGTCGACTGTGGGTAGCGTTGGTATCGATCTGGTTCGACAGGTAACCTAGGCTTGGTAGGGTGGTGATTTGGGAGAAGACAATTTTTATCCTGCTACGCTTTTTTCCTAACGGAGAACTTCCTTTCGTGTAGCTAGAACAAATGATACCAATGACTCTTTCCCTATTTTTTTTTACTTTTCGAGAACGTGGAAGTTGAGCTCTACGAACGGTTGCGAGACCTCCAGTACCAGTTTACTACAAGTAACTATCGTGTTTGGACCCCCTAATTCGGACCAAAACACAAGAAGGCGAGCAACCGCCTAATTTAGCCAAGGCGCTGAATTCGCGAGTGACGGGAAACGATCGCCATATTGGCGGGTGCGCACGCTTGGCGGTCGTATTGATTAAATGCAGTAGGGAAAAGAACACATCATGTCCCCAATCCATGTCGAGGCACACTTCACGACTAACTCACCTCCCATAAATGAAGCTGATCTGAGAGGTGTCCCCTCCTTCTTCTTATTAATACTTGTTTGTTAGGATTCACGATATTCGTTTTTAGAAGGAGTTTCTGCATCCAAACTTATGCGCTAGCATGGCAGGACTTCCCCCAAATGTTAAATGTTATGCCTCCTATCTCGACCAGGTGCGAGGGTAGCGAAGAATATCCATAAAATGCGAGGAAATCGAGCCGAAGATCCTAAGCAAAGACTATTGGTACCGGTACAGTACTCGTATCTCGAAAAAGCACCCAGTTCTGCCGACGGCACCACAAGCCGGAAAAATTCTACCGTTTGGCTCAGGTCGCAATACCGTACTCGAGTAGGCCTACTCATAGGGAAAATAATTGTTCGACCCCAGGCCGAACAATCACTACTGACAAGAGAGGCTTTTTGATTTCAAGATCGCATGAAAGCAGCCAGACACCTGTTGCGCCGATCCATGGTTTCAATTTCTGGATATATGAACCGGAATACCGCACTTGTACCATGATAGCCGAGTTTGGTGTTGAGGCATTTTGTATGGGTGCCTCGAGTAATGACTGCCTGCAAATGTAATCGAAAGTAGGCCAGGACACACCTCAAGGGATCGGATATCGCACTAGTCCCAATTTGGCAAAATATCTATGTTTTGGGGGTACTATTTGCACAGCTTTTATATTAAGATGAGTTTTGGGAGTTTTGGTCTCCCCCAAGAGAAATCCCGAAGAAGCCGAGAATTACCCACAAAACTGGAAAGACATCAACAAATAAGCCAGAGGTTTTTTCAATAACCAAGATGAATAATAGCCGTGCGCAGGTTCATCGAGGACGGAACCATATTCGCTGATGACAAAAGTGCACTCACAAGGTTCTGATGGCGGGGCTCAGACCTGCTAGGCTGCTGCATTGGAATCCCCTCTCTAGCTCGATGACCGCAAATGGGGGGCTTGCAGCTGATCCTCATCGAGAGGGCAAAATATTTAAAAGATACTCCGGCTTCGCTTGCTGCCCCTTGCTCTACTTAGCGTTTCCTCAGGAAGCTATCCACCAGTGACTCCTCTATTCTATTAAGCACCCCGCACAAAGTTAAAGGCTAGCCGACCTACAAGTTGGCTGTGTTCTCGATTTCTCCACACACCGAACATCCGCAAGCGTCTGCCAACTGTTAATTCTGTTCTCTAGATCCGAATGGTGAAGTACGAGGTCGACGAAGCGTTCTTCGACAATCGACACTATGGACTCACCCCCCGCGACCTCGATAGTGAATCCGGAATCTATTTCAAGCACACCTACACACGAGGTCTTACGAAACGGGACGACGCATACTACACGCCAGCAGACTACAAAGAAAAGCCCGAAAAGGAAGCCCCAGCCACGAAACCTCCATCCCAGACCGTCACCGTCACCGAAATTGCAAACCTGCCGCTTGTTCGGGTATCCTATAAGGCCCATATTTTCACGACCGCCACACGGACTGTATTAACTCAAAGGTTTTATCATCCCGGAAAAGCGCCGATTGATGGAGCGACCTATAACTTCCCACTGTACGCTGGTTGCTCGGTAGTGTCATTCGTTTGCCATGTCGGTCCGAAAAAAGTCATCACAGGTGTAGTCCAACCAAAGGAGGTTGCCAGGGCGACATATGAGAAGGCCAAGTCCCAGGGACATACGGCAGGTCTACTGGAGGAATTCACCCCGGAGATTTTTAAGACCAGCCTCGGGAATATCCCCGCCGGGGCTAATGTTAAGGTTGAGATCACATATCTTACGGAGCTGAAGCATGATACAAAGGTGGATGGTATTCGGTTTACCGTGCCCACTTCCATTGCTCCAAGATATGGAGACCCACCTGAAGGGCTTTTTGGGGACGAATATAAGATCCGCGTCGCGAAGGGCGTGTCCTTCTCGATTTCCGTGACGATGGGGGAGAGGATACGGAGTATCGAAAGCCCTTCGCATAAGGTTTCCATCCAAGTTGGAACTCATGAAGCGGTCACCAAAAAGAACCCTAATCCAGCAAGCCAATACGATGACAAGAAGGCGCTTGTGACTCTATCTCAGAAATCTATGCATTTGAGTGGAGACTTTGTCCTTCTTGTCACCACCGCAACGCCTCGATTTCTATGTACCCCTACGGCCCTGCTTGAAGAGCATCCCAAAATACCTGGCCAGAAAGCCCTTATGGTGACGCTCGTTCCGCGCCCCGACCATCCCAAGACTTCCCACTCACAAAAAAGTGAGATAATTTTCATAGTAGACCGATCTGGGTCTATGGAGGATATGATCCCACCCCTAAAATCCGCCGTGAGTGTCTTCATTAAGTCATTACCAAAAAGGTGCAAATTCAACATCTGTTCATTCGGCAGCGAGTATTCGTTCCTCTGGGAGAAGTCGCAAGATAACACCGCACACTCAGTAGAAACTGCGTTAAATCTTGTGGACAGATTCGAGGCAAATATGGGGGGAACTGAATTGCTACAGCCTATTCGGGAGACTGTGGATCGGAGATCGACAGATATGAATACGGAAGTCATCGTTTTGACCGACGGGGAAATCTGGGAGGAAGATAATGCGCTAGCATTTATAAAACAAGCGGCCAGGGACAGCAAAGGAAAGTTAAGATTCTTCTCCATCGGTCTTGGATCGGAGGTCTCCCATTCATTGATCGAGGGAATCGCCCGGAGTGGCGGCGGTTACTCGCAGATTGTTGCGGATGGTTCGGATGAGCAGGATACAGGTGGATGGGAAGGCAATGTAGTGAAAATGCTTAAGGCAACATTGACGGAACATATTGATCATTACAGCCTAAAGATCATCCACGATGGTTTTCACGAATCGGACGAGGAAGATAGCGACAGTGAGGAGAAACACACTTCCTCCCCCGCTGCTGGCCCTAGTACAGCCAACGCGGGGAAGAGCGCGATGGCCCCTCAGGCACCAAAGAAGCTTTCACTCTACAGTACCAGTGCAGATCTTGGGACGGCTCCTACATCCTCTCCTTCCGATGACGAACCTTTCGCCGGAAGACCCGGGGCAACGGCCGATCCTGCTCTCTTGGAGGACAGATTTTCACATCTGAGAAGGCTCCAGAGCCCTGAGCTGCTCCAGGCGCCATACCAAATTCCGCCTCTGTATCCACAAGTACGGACTGTGGCTTATTTTCTCATTTCTCCAACGGGGGATCGTTCACTCCGAAACCCCACATCGGTGAAACTGCAGGGAACCTCTCTCGATGCCGCAAGGGAGCAATCGATTCCGATCACCCGGCTCGACAAGCCCGGTTTAACAATTCATCAACTCGCGGCACGCATGGCTTTAAGAGATCTAACGGATGGTTCAAGCTGGCTGCACTCCGGGAAACACGGAATTGGCCCCGAAGACGTCTCATTCCAAGAGTACGTCGAGAGAGAAGGAGAGTCCCTGTCGATCAAATGGGGTCTCGCAAGCAAGTGGGCTAGTTTCGTCGCGGTGGAAGATGAATTCCTGGAGAAGGAGATTACAGAGAAAGCCGCCACAAAAGCTAACGCGAAGCAGCGAGGCAGAGAGGGTAAGATTGATAGCGATAGCGATGATAGTGACAGCGATTTTGTGTCTGCCGATAGCTGGCCGAATGCCGGAACGCCTGAGCCCAGCTCTACCATAACTTCAGTCACAGATATGCCCGCGAGTGCATTTGGTGCGCTCCCTTTGGGAAAACAACCCCCGGCACACATAGCCGCCCCGAGCCTTTTGAAGGTTCCACCGCCCGTGGTTTCATCAGGGAAAATACCTGGGCCTTTTAGCGTAATGCACGTTGGACAAGATAGCATGTCGATGATGCTGCAACCTCGTGTTGAAGTCGCGAATGAAGCTTGGGATCACATGCTTATCAACAACCCTATTCAAAACAGGATGCTATCAACCCATAGTCACCATTCATCTATACGTTCGTATTCTCTAGTTCCCCTTTCCAAAAATTACTAACCCCGTCCTAACAGGACGGAAAAGATATTCTTACAATCCGACCGCCTCCAGCGAAACCTATAATATAGACTCCGAAGCTAAACGACTAGCCACTGCCAGCGACGGCGAATGCTCCTTAGGAGAGGATGTTGGTGAGGAGAGCGATGTTGTCTCAGAATCCTCCGGCTCTATAGAAACCAAACCCTACCTGAACCAGCAGGAACAATGTTACTCAGAACTGCCCTTCGTCGCACTCACTTCCGTCAGCTCATCCACAGTATCATCTCATCAAGAGGTACCCACCCTCATCGGCCCTGAACCCAGCCAAAGTGACACCCCGCACCAGAAAGTCGTCAAAATAATCCGCCTGCAAGAGTTCATTGGCTCGTTCCCGGTGACTGAGGAAATGGCGCGGTTGATCGGCCTCGAACCGCTAGACGCGGAGGGGTTGGCGATGGAGTTGTTCCCGGACAAGGTTACGGACGCGAGCAAGATCCTGGCTATGACGGCGCTGGTGGTGGCCTACCTGGAGTTGGAGATGTACGAGCACGAGGATATCTGGCAGATGATTGTTGAAAAGGCCTGCGAGTTCGTGGAGGAAGGGTGTGAGAGGGCTGAGGCCCTGAAGGAGAAGGCCAAAGGGGTTATCCAAGAAAAGGTTTCAGCGGTTGGTCATTCCCACGCCCCGGGAGTCGTGAGTGCTGCTGCTTCGATACTGACCCAGAGCAGGATGATGATGAGGAGGAGTGATCATAAATGATCACTCGTCATTAGTCAGGAGGTTTTTTTTTTAGGGGCGGAGCTGGATGCAAAAAACATGAAATAAGTTATCATAATAACATAACATTTTATACATGTCTTAACTGTCTGATCTCTAGGAATGGAATTGCCCTGCCCCTCGTCATACTCGCTACGTGATATCTTATGACCCAACCCGCATTCAACCATGACCACCCCCCAGAAAAAAACCACCTAACTTAGACCTTGCGAGTCAATTGATTGATGTATGGGGTAGACAAAAATTCAAAAAAATAATACCACAGACTTCCCACCAACCCACTGACAGGAACAAAACCCCCCCAAAAAAAACTCACAACCCACCCGCAACGCCCAAAGTACCGCACTAGACCTTATAGAAAAACACCACACCCACCGCCCAAACAAGCGATCGCAAAACCAAACAAGCAGGCAGATACCACCAACTAAACCCCCACATCCCAATCCCCCCACCCAACGACCAAGAATCCCAATACCGACCAGTACGATACAAGCACCCACCAAAACATACCACAATTCCACAAGAAACTGCACGCACAAGCTCCAGAAATGGCGTAGTTACCCGCGGCGAAGCTAAAGTCGACTGACCAACTCAATCAACCGACAAATCAACTAATTAACTAACCAATTCGGCATCACAAGATTTTAGCAGAGTCCTCTTTCAGTACCGTTATTCTTCGGGGTGGGGATGGTGGACGGATTACTAAGGGATGGCGGGGTGTATGAGTCGGTGAGTGGGTGCGCTTCGTAAGGGATGGGAGTTGCGCTGGGGGTGGTATACCCTGCCATGTTGTGTCGCAATGGTATTATGGTTCGTGCGGACCAAAACCGTAACCAGATTTTTAGCTGTTTTCAAATGATTATACCATCAGATCCAGCTACCTAGGTAACTTAAAAAAACCTCTGCATTATTCTCATAATCTTTCTCAACAATGTAGAGGTTTTTTTAAATCATTTGAACAATCTGGTTTAGTGGTATAATCGTTTGAAATGAGGCATTTTTGGTGTAAATAGAGAAAATGTGTTACGCACAGCCACAGTTTCACTTCAAGTTAGGGCACTATTTGGTTTAGTAATTACATTTTTGTATCTAGCCCCTACATAAAAATATCCTGCAACCAATAACCTATAAATCTTTACTACTAGTCCAGGCATTAGACCTATGATACACTATTGGGCTTTCTTCCGGGTTGGGTTGTGCGGGTACGGTACTTGTGGTTTGGGGTGTGTTGATTGCCATATCATACCCAGCAGCCAGTTCGAGTCGTTGCTGAGACGGGGTCTTCTAGGGGGTTAGGTTGTGAGCGCGGACGAGTGTACGGTATTCAAGGTGTGGTTTTTGGAGATAGGGGCTGCATGAAAGTTATGATAGCGAAAGCTTAGCTGTAGGATCTCGGAAGAGGGCAGTGGTCTGAGGCCTGGTTTCGGAGTTGGCAGAATATTGGTACAGACTAAAATATTTTGATCGCGATGAGTGTATTAATTCGTAAACTAGTGTATGATACAACTTAACTTATTCTCCGAACTATCCTTCGAGTTACCCCGCATATCCTTCTCTCGCTCCCCATGAGTAGCAATCCCAGAATTGTAACCTACCTTGCCCCATCCCACTTGCAGTAACCTACTCTATTCGTGTCATCACTTAAAAACCAAGGACATCTCTTCTACCATCACACCCACTCACTCACTCACCACCAATTCAGTCACAACCTCACTACAAAAGACATCACCAACCCTCGATCGCCACCCCCATGCACCCCCATGCACCCCCCAACCCCAAACATAAACCAAAGCCATACAACACTTACCCCTACTATGATTCCCCATTTCCGTTCCCGCCACCTCCCCTCCCACCCCTTCGTAGCGGTCACCGGCACACCACGCGGCGCTGCAAGCACCCGCGCCAAATCAGATGAAACCTCCATCCCATTGCACTCCCTGCCTTCTTTTCCATGTCTTCTCACCTTTACAACACGGCACAACCCAGCAGGAGCACATCAGGCACTGACAGCCAGTAGTCCACAACAAGCCTTCAAACCATCACCCCCATTATCAGCAAAAGCGAGGATGGGTCACCATCATATCACTGTCACGTATCTCGGAAGTTACGTCCAGTCTCGAAACCAGCTGTATGCTTTTTTCCGTCTCCTACCGCCTTTAGATCGGCCGGGGATCCCTCGCTCCAAGCTACTCCCCCGTATCTACCCGAAGGAGAGGCACACCGTACCGTAGGAAGTCGTTGTGAGATATTAGGGCATGAATTTCTTGTTGATTCCTAAATAAATAAAAAAAGATAATTATGTTTTCTTTTTTCTTCTCTTTTCCTGCAAAAGTGCATCCATGCGGGTGTCCGATGGATCAGTCAGTAAGTGCAAAAGAACACAGACCGAGAGAATCGAAGTTGGAAAGAAAAGGTTCGGTGCATATTCGTAGTCTGGTATTCAAAATCCATCCAGCCAGCCAGCCATCCCATTACGTTCCCCCCATCTTTCTCTCTGCGTATTTCCTCCCCGATCAGGGTATAGTCAGTGTAAAGTACCGCAAAGCAAGCTCCCCCTTCAACGATATCGATGGTGACAAAAACTAAAAACCACAATTACCATTCACTTGCTCGGTAGCAAGTTCCTGTAACTCCAGAGGCAACCCACTTGGCTTGTGCGTTTTCTTTTTCTTTTCTTTCCTCTTTTTATTTCTGCAATCAAGGGAGTCCCTAGTTCGGACGTTCCATTCCTCCATTTCCAAACTAGCAGAGATGCATCCCGCTGCTGCTGCTACACCCCCTGCGTGAAGAGTCGAGTTTGAGATGGGAGATCAGAATCGGAGATTCTGCTTTCCTTTTGCGATAAAAAGCCAAGCTAGAGAACCGGCCTTCTCGTTTCCTTGCAAAAAACACCCCCTCTCGCCTACACAATGTAGGTCAATACTCAGCACGGATTTGAAGACCAGGGAATGATCCATTCGATCAATTGATTGTCGCACTACATAATTAATATTCCGAAGGGATCATGATAGAGAGTTCGGAAAAGACGAAATGTCGATAGCTGGACGGTGTTTGATTCGCCGGGGTTTGCAGATTTCGATCCTGGCTTGGCGGGTTCTTTCCAACCTCTCCACTCGCCGGTAATCTCGGCAGGCCGTAAACGGAAGTAGACTAGGGTCGACTTGACAGTTGTTCAGATGTTCGAGACCAAAAACAAGGGTTCTTTGCGGGTTGCTGAAGGAAATGCTGCATTGTACCTGTATTCCCGTATTTTCCTGCAGGATCATAAAGGTCAAAACGCACCTATCGACCTTATGAAATAACTAAAAAAAACTAATCCCAAACTCACATCTGCCATATCGGTTATTGTAATGCGGTGAGCTGGTTCGCCTGCTTCCACTTAAAAGCGGTAGGCCCTTCCCAATAAAGTCTCCGCTAATTCTGGCATTCAGAAAACGAACGACTGAATGGATAACTACCGGGATTTTGTAGGTGATTCCTTTTTTGCACCTCCCGGGGATCGGGAACTGGCAATATAATAGCAGGTGCATGCTAGGAATAATTGGTGATGCTCTGGCTGTTCCAGGAATTTTATTCCGGGCCAGCGATGGGGTCCGCTTACCATCGTTGGTACCCAGTAAACAAACGGAACGCAGAGCTGAGTATTCATCGATATCCACCGCACCCTTTAAGGAGAGTGTGATAAGAATGAAAGAATTCTATACCCGAACACCCTGTGCGATGCCCAGGGAAGGGGGGGATCTTCCTGTTAGGTTCGACAGTTCCCACTTTTGCGATTGTCTGTAGCGATTGGTTCCTGTGATGTCGATAAAATCACGCAAAATGCGTAATCAAAACCAAAGCCACAAGATGGACTGATTGGATCTCATAACTCTACGCCTATGTATTGCCCAATCATCCGGAAGAAATACATACACAAGGCGGATGTATCGGGTACGAAATGCTCGGGTGCCGGAATCCACCTTTTTACTACAAGGATCCACCAAAACATGGAATATTGCACTTGCACTGTTCCGAAAAATGACTCTGCGGTCCGGGCCTTGGACAACTCAACGCCACCCGATCCGTGTTGTGGCAGCGCTTGGGTCCTTGCTTCGGCAATGCTAGCCTTCGCATAGCCAGGGATGGGGCTACGGATATGCACCTATTGGCGGCCAAAGACACCGAGACACCGAGACACCAAGGCAGTTCAAGAACAACCGTACCTCCAACGTGGCCTCTATTCCACCTGGCCCCTATCAGCTTCCAGTGGGGCACCAGTTTTGGAGGACCTATAATAATGCTCTCCTCACCCGGCTTGACCTGGAATAGCTCCTGAGTGGTTTAGAAGCCCGAGCTGGATACCCCCCCTCTCATGCACCACGGCATGGTTACTTGTACCTCCCGAGGAAGCCTGCTTCTCAGGTGGTGAGAGCGGACAAGTTGGTACCGACCTAGATCGAATTCATGTCACTCGAGCACAAATTCTCTGCAAAACGCCGCCGTAAGCCTCAGATATTTCCACCTTGAGAGGATCGGCGATACCTACACCGGAGGCACCGCCAACTGCTCCAATGCATGCCAATATCTACCGGCAGGGGCCTCTGGGAGTACTGTTGTTATACTTCCGTTAACGGTAATGATTCCTGCTACACAGTATACTCAGCGAGGGGTAGGGAGCTATGTTTGTCAGCCATCCTCCATTGCTTAACCAGGGTTTTGATACTCAGGTCCGTTAGGGTTCCAGTTTCTCGGTTGTATTTAATATCGGTGCGGTATCAGGTATTCCCGTAGATGAAGCATTTCTTGCACTACTCTGTGGTATAGGCGTCTCGGACAGTTGTCCTCACTTATTGACTTCCCGGACTTGCCAGCGGCGGAGAGTCCGTGACGGAGATGCCGTTACAATAGAAGTTCCGTGCTATAAATGGCCTAATCTAGAAACGAGCTTGTGAGAAATAGTACATGTGAACGACAAGGTCAGTCATGTCAAGTGCCAGGATCGATCTGGGATCTAGTGACCAAGAGAGCAACACACTGAACCAGAGCAAGCAAATACGGCGGTATCCTCACACTGCAATAACAGACCGACAGGATACGGAATGATGCGTCGAGTAGGTTGCAGGTTTCTATGGTACCCCTCTGCTATTAAAACCCGTCACGTAGACAGATGGTGATGGGCCCAGCAGAACACGCTTTAATATACCTTCGATATCCTTGCTGGAGCCTCGCTGAGAGAGGAAACTGCGTAATTCAGGAAATCAGATCCTACCAGGCCGTTAGCACGGTGTATTCCACTGGGGTCACGCAAACCGTGGATCAGATCTCCCCGCCAGTCCCGGAGCTTAGAATAATGGTACCGGGGAAGTCTGGAGCGAACTTCGAGGCCACATCCCACATATGATGACCTCCGAAGAATAGAGGCTCGCAGTGGTAGCGAGTTTGGTGGAGGCATTGAAGCAAAACGGGCAAGCGAAGCTCCGTGAAAGGGGAAAAACGATCGGGGCCGGGGTGAAAATTCCAATAGTTGAAGAAACAACATAAAGGTCGACACTCCGTGGGGCCTGTACTCGTAGGGATGAACTTTATAAGAGGCCGCACCGAGAAGAGGGGTAAAAGCCATGCAGCCTTAAAAATATTTATAAACGAGTCGAACACGGTATCGTGAGTTCTACGCAGTATTAGAGTAAATCTAGTCTCGAGCGGTGAGCAAATCCATGCCGGTAGATACCACGCATCCACTCACGAGAGCTGGGCCACCAATGCACCCCATACTATTTCTCCCGCTACAAAATTCCCCATATCCCAACTGGTCAGCACAGAATAGGGCAAAGTACAGAGTAAAAAATAAAAATAAAAAAAGATGAGGAGACCAAAATCCATTCCAGTAGTACAGCAGCATCATGGTCGCCCTCAAGTCCGACATGAGTTAAGACTCCCCAACAGCCACTTCCGTACGCAATTGGCAATCCCTCGATGCACCCGCCCCACTGTACTCCATACCAAAGCAATCCCAAAACCCCCCAATCAAACAACCCTCCTCACCGTGCCTCCATCCCGTCAAGGCAAGAGAAGAAAGATGAGATGGATACAGATTCGCTCCTAAGCTACGGTACAAAATCTCGCACCAATACCGGTACAAGCACTTCGTGTCTGCTCTAGCCATCGTCTGCAATCCCAAAAGAAGGTCTCAGAGTGGTGATGGGTTGGCCCTTCATATAAATTGTGGATCGAGGTATGACTCAGTCACCTGACACCCCGGACCAAGTGACGTCCGCCAAGACAGATCTTCCCTCCCACACGGGTGTCACAACTCTAAATTTTTAATATCAGATAGACTATCGGGACACCCAAAATTGGCAGTCGTGGAGTAGCGAAAACTTCACCTCAAAACAGGTTCAACCTCCTCCCCTAAAAACGGCCTCGGAAAAAGCTGCAGCAATGCCCTATCGTAGAAGAGCTCTCCGGCTCGAGGATTCTCTTTATCCTCCAGCCTTCCCACCACGTCCTTACAGAAATACAAGTTCCATGGCAAGGCTGAAACGCTGGAAGCTCATCTGCCAACGCATCTGAATTGACTCATAAGTCTCTTCTCCCGCGCCTTCAAAGCACCAAACATACCTCACAATAGTGCCATCGCCTTTCGCCCTCCCTCTCCGCCTCCGCCCAGTGACAGAGTGTACACGGAGATTGCGCCCCATACGGCACCAAACTCTCCACACTCTTGCCGGATTAAAAAGCAAGGCGACCAATGAATTGTGTATGAAAGCTTGGAACCAGGGATACTGACTCCCCCAGCACTGGAGGGTGGGGCTGAGCAGTATGAGCAAGAGCCTGTATCCGTACGTATACGAGTATATATAGAGGCGAGCTCCTCGAAGGGAAGAAGGAAGAGAGAAGGATATTTGGTTTATCGTTGAGAAAGGGAGGCAACTACAACAAGGCTGAAACCACGAACGACCAACCGACCGACAAAACTTATATTTTCCGAATCGGCGAGGATTTAGATGGCCCGGATCCTCGGTCATCCCATCAGCTCAGTCGGCGAGACCAACGTTTGCGTTTTGGATGTCGAACCTACGACATGCGGAAGCGAGAGATGCGACACCCTAGCGCCAAGCTATCGTGAACACTTGAGCCGTATGCTCCTGGTTCAAGTGTCCAGGGCACATTGCGGACCTTACTCACTCAGTCACTTACACACACTACCGTAACGGTACTGCGCTCCAGGCGTAGTCGTCAGGGTCACTCAATTAACGAAATTAACGAGAAACGTCGAAGGAGGGGCTCGTCTATGGCTTCTTCATATGTACCCGCGTACCAAAGAAAGTTCACTTATTTGGCTGACCTAACCTTCTAGGCACGGTACCTCACAAACAAACCAAACAACCTCACGACACCCAAAAAAAACCCCCACCGGACGTTACGGTTCATCCTCACGCCCTCATATACTCATCTCAACGGCCAGACTGAAAAGCGGTTACGGAGAGTTCGCAGAGTTATTGTCCCGCAAGGAGAATACCCGACAATCCCTAAGTTACAGCACCTCAAACAAACCTCATCCACCCGATCCCGATCAGCCCCCAGTTCCATACCTCCACCTGGCAAGCCCATCCCGCACCGTCACCAGGGCTACAAGAATCAGATGCAAAATTCGCGAACCACGTTGAAGATAGCTATTCACCGCCAGTAAAGTAGCGTAGGGCAACACGGATGATCAAGTGCCCATTCCGCCGGGAACCTGTGAACAGACGACTTCAGCATGGACCCGCCCAACCAGCGCGCGAGCATTACGGCAACGGCACCACGAACTTCAAAACAGGTAGCCCTAGGGGAAGGGAGGGGAGGGATAAAACCGTTCCCCTCAGAGACCACCCCGTTTCGGCACAACACACGGGCTAAAAAGTTGGTGAAGGCTTTTAAAATAATAATAAAAATCATCGTCATCAACGTCATAAGGGCACGAAAGAGAGAGGGACAGTGCCACAAGGCGCCCAAATTTCCCCCATCATGCGCAAAACTTGTCAATTCCGTTGCCCTGCCAAGTTAAGTTGGGTCAACCCCGTCACACAAGCAATTCCTCACTGCCTCCCCATCCCATCCCTGCTCGTATCACAACCCCATGCCCACCCACGAAAAAGCACAGGAGGCGCGGGCGCGGTTGTGACCCAGTTCCCAAACCAACCCTCCCCACCCACTTATCGCAAGACAATCCGAACCCCCCCCGCCCATCACGCACCCACACCCGGGGGAGCGCTGCGCCTTGGTTGGCTCGGTCACTGGACGGGTAGCCATGGGCATGGGATGAGATGACTCTTCTTTCCTTCGCACCCCGGCGTGTTCGCACTTTTTCTCGTGACGCGTCTTGTGCGGCTCTACATGAGGAAGGAGTCATTGTGGTGGGGTGCATGCTGGGCGCTGCACGGCGCGCGCGGTGGAAGGTGAATTCCTCCCCGTGTTATCATCGGTATCAAGGGCCAGTTCTGGTGTTCGAACTGAGGAGGAGGAGGAGGAGGAGGTGGTGGAGGGGGGGAGTCCGAAGGGAAGGGAGGTCTCCCCCGCGTTTCGATTCTGTCGAAAACACGGACACGGAGAAGGGTGGTCGGACGGTCGGTTAGAACAGGTTTTGAGGGCATCATAAGTGCAGTGAAGCCGAGTGAAATTCCGAGGGTTGACGAGTACTGCACCACGCCTAGCCAGGAGCAACTTTTACGAGCGCCGTACAGTAGGAGCCTCGCGCGCGACGGGACCAGGAAGCTCCGTGGTTGGCCACATGCCTGCTCGCAAAGTATCCGGACACCCCGGGTTGATTGATGCCCCTCTTGGCGCCAAGGCGTCCGGATACTTTGTTGATTAGCAAGTACTCGAGGAAACGTCTGAATAAACAAAATCATCACCATCATCTCACATTTCCGATACAGCTTGCATATTACATGGAGGAGGCTACAGCTACTTTGTAAAAAAAGAAAAGGAGATGAAAAAAAAAACTCTAATCCCACCATTTCAAACCCAATCACCATCATCACCAAGGCACGGAAGGCAAAGAGGGCATTCATAATTTTTTGCCTATTTTTGTTTTTTTGACAAACGCTTAAACTCGGATACAAAGGGAATGAATATCGTCCGCAGGACTAGAAAGGAAGAAGAGATCGCATATACAGGATGCACTGCTATGTCCGCCGGCCAACCGAGAAACCCTTTACAAAAGGAAAAAAAAACATGAGGAAACAGAAAAAATGTCAACGAGCGTCCTTCTCCATCCTTCCATCCATCGAGCCCGCCAGCTACTGTACTCATCCAAAGCTTTGGGAATAAAAGGAATACCGGTATCCTTTTATCTATCCAATCAATTGGAAACACAAACAAAAGGAGAAAATAAAGGCTGTCGGAAAAAGTACAAACAAAAACGCGCTGCTCTCTATACCAGGTCTCTCGCCTCCGGGGAGGGGCCAATGGAAGAAGAAAAGTGGAAGCGGAAAGGGATCAATAAATAAAAAGCGCGGAATCCATCTCAGCTCCCACCAACCAATCAAGGAGGAGGAGTCTTGAATTAGCCCTTCTAATTCTCCGACTCTTTTATCTTTCGGCTCTTTTTTTTTTTTCCTTCTATTTTTCTTCGGGGTATTAAAGTGTATATGAAAAGGTCGGCAGATAAACAAGATCTCAGCCCTACAATGATGAAGGAGAGCTTTCAGATGTTTCCATTCGGACGCTGCCAGGTATCCGCCCCATGCCCTTCCTACCGGTCGACCGATTTGTGCAAGTTCCGCAGGGTGTTCGTTCAGTTCGCGTTGTCCCGTGGGGAGTCGGTGAAAAGACGAGATATTCAGAAGATGCTATCGGTGAGGTGGTGGATGTGTGGAAGGGGGGGGGGGGGGTGGGTGGGTGGTATATGCGGAGAGGGGCGTTTTGCGAATGCGGCGGGGGCAATGTGTGCGTGGTGGGTGGGTAAGGGTATTATTTCCTCTCCATTTGGAAGGGCAGGAAAGAGATTAAAGTTTCCTCCAACTTTTCGTCAGGTTACAGGTCTCTTGAGGGTGCACCAGTCGTTTAAAAGTAACGCATCTCGATCTCGGGGTTGAAGGTGACCGCCCTTCCGCTGCTCCTTGGTGAACCGTGCTCTCTCGGGGAGCGAGAGCTCGTACGATGACCGTGGTGGCTAGCATACACCCGCTGCGGTTGTTCGTAAGCGGTAGCAGCGAGGTCGAATCCGGACGATCTGCTGGGGTCGACGTATCGGTGGTAATGTGTCGACCTGGCCCTCCCCATCACGGGGGCACGAGATACCTCAACGGTTGTTCCCCTCCTGGTAAGGTCGCTGGCGAACGTGCTCCCGCGGCTAATCCTTTCGGAGGAGACGTCGGGGGAGACGTATACGATTTTCCCCTCCCTCTCGGCCTCGATCCTCCTGGAGGTGTTGTTGGGCACGGACTTTGTGTGCCCCACGGCGCCGAGGTCGATGCGGTTGCTCGGTGCTCCTTGGAGGTGGTGGGTGATAGACTTGATCAACCCGTCAACAGATTCCCAACCTTCCGGGAATGAAATGTCGATCTGACCCAGAGGTGTAGTTCTGGCCTTCGCGTACAGCGCATCAGTTGCGTCCTGAGCGAGTGAATGGCCGATATCGCAGAGGCGAAGGGTCTTGGAGAGATGCACGGAGTATGGGTCGTAGCAAGACGGGCAGCCCCCGGCGTGGTGATTGAAGGACCTTAGAGAAGAGTGGATACGCTCGGAAAGCACGTCCCTGGGACTAGCGGGCATCTTCATCGTTGCGGTTGTGTGTGTTGATGGATACAGATATAGATGTCGAGAGGATGCTTGAAGCTTTGGTTGCTGTGCTGTTGGGTGTTTGGAAGCTTTCTCCCTTTTCTAACTTGAGAGTGGGAGGAACGGAAGGGTATTTAAATAAAAGATGGAATGAGATCCGAGCTTTTTCTGAAAGGGCTGCAGTTCGCGATGGTGGTTCTCTGGTTGCTGCGGGAAAGTGGGTTGTGTGGTGGGGGGAAGTGCCGGTAAATATAGTCTACGAGCCCACGGAGAGGGAGAGAGGTCCAGGACCCCAATTCCTTGGCATTGAGATGACCAGCGACTCACAACTCCCACACCCAATCCCTGCAGCTCAGAACTCCACCACACGGTCCACACCACCCCTCCCCTCCCTTCAGGTCCATCCCCCCAAAAAACACACCCTGTCCCAACCACACTCGTTCCAAACCTGACCTACCCACCATAACCCGTTGCGGCAATCGCTTTTTTTTATTTTTTTTATTTTTATTTTTCTCCTTTCTCTCTCATTCCCTTCCCGGAACACAAGAAATCATTTTCCTCTCCCCTCCTCCCAAACCCAGATCTGGCAGCAATGCCCCAAAGCCGAAAGTCACCACAAATCACACGCACGCCCTGAAAAGGTTTTTTCTTTTTCCTTCTTTCCCTTTATTCCCCCTTTCCCTCCTCTCCACGCACACCCCGTTGGTACCGGTAACTGGCGAAACTGGCCGCAGTCTCTCTCCTCTCTCTCTTCTTTTCTTTTTTTCTTTTCTCCCTCTTGCTTGTCCGCCACTCTTTGGCAAGGCAAACTTCTTGGAACAAAATCTGCCCTGCGCCAGTCTCGCTCTGGCGACACCGCTCGCGTAGTCACCGGAGAGTCGCAGTTGACGCCTAGACTATCCCCCAATACCCGTACCAGAATACATGATACGTTTCCATTAACCTAGGGGCGTCTTCCCTTTTGGCGGCTATCGGTAACGGGTAACGCATCCAAACCTAGCGTCGCAACATAGGTTATGAGGCCAAAATTAATCCCACCGGTCCATTTACCGTAGAACACTTACCCTTTGAAGCGAACCCAACAAGAATAAAGCGTCGAAATCACTGAGGCGTTCTACGGTACCGGTAACAGGCACGATGCAGTACGGTACTAGTACAGACAAGACAGCTACAGTCTTCGTAACTGAATGAATGGAGCCCTTCTTCATCATTCACCCATTCACCACCCTTCAATGCTATTTTTGCAACATCTCATCCCAACGGAAAGTATAGACGGACAACTTCCTTTTCGCCTCCCTTTGCTATGCTTTCCTCCCTTTCTCCCCTGGACTCCAGGCGCGACAAAGAGGGAGAGAGGGAGAAAGAAAAAAATAGATTAATTATGATACATACATTGTGCAGTACATATTATACCCTGCATACAGTACCGG